TGGAGCAGGAGGGCTGAATGGAGCCCAAATTAAGATAATGGGCTTCAAGATACTTGGGTATGAAAGGAGTAACGTTCAAGCAAGATTCATACAAGCCAACAGACAAGACTGTACCACTTTGGCCTGGTGTTGTGGCAGGGGCAAGTTATCACAAGATGGTCCACACACAAAATAAAGTACCCTATGCATCGACAAACTCTAGCCTACGACTTCCCCCAAATGTACGAGTGCTTATATACCGGCTACTCAACCTTGGCAAACTCACCTGCTCTTTGAGGTGACGCTGTCATGGAAGAATTTTATCACTGTCATGGATAGAATTTTTCTTCTATCTTGCAGGGCAATGCGCAGCTTCGGTATCTTAAAAGGCTTTGATCTTAAAGGGCCAAGGAAAAGCACGGATGCAGACAGACAGCTGTTGCATTACACCCCCTAATGGGCCTTTTAAAGAAAAGGCCAGAGTGATGTATGGCTGGTTAAACAGAATTTAAATATTACTGCAATGTTGTGTTTACAGGTGAAAAAATACGGCACTGAAAGACACAAGCTATCCACCACTTGGCAGAGCGGTAGCTGGGAAACCTCATCTCTGTTCACCTATGGCGAGCAAAAATTGCATTCAGGCAACTCAACACAAACCGCTTTTTGAACTAAGACAAACTTGAGACTTACACTTCATTAGAACTTGCACCCTTCCCTTCCCAAAGATGTTACCAGGGAGGCTTGTAAAAGACTAGCAAGATGCAAATCAAGAAAGCAATTCTGCAAGACTGTAATTGCATGAAAGAATCCATGATGCCCAAGAACTGTTTGGCTGCCACATCTGACATATGCTCACAGGTGGGGTGCTGAAGATTTTGGGCTCAGATAGCAACCTTTATGGACTGATTTCCAAGCCAGCCTTTCCACCTGGCTTATTTTATTTTCCTTTTAAATGGAAACAGTCCATGGTTTCGGTTTTCAAAATTATTTGCTCATTACTTCAAGAAGAAGCAAACAAACCCACAGGGAATAAATAAAACTGGGCGAGTCAGTATTTTCCAGTCAGCCGGCTGCAAAACCAAAATATAGCCCCAGGAGCAAGATCTCAGCTTATGCTCAGAGCATGCACGAGATTCAGAGAAATAACTTTTGTGCATTTGTTCCAGCTCTGGTTACAGGTCACAGGAGAGCCAAGTTCGCTTGTCTGTTGAGAAGACCACGCAATGTGAACAAAACAAGCTGAAATGCCGAAGAACAATTCCAGCTATTTAGATGCCAGTAAAAATGAACCCATGCAAGCAGAACCTGGGTTTTTTGGAAGTGCAAACCCTTATGCAGCAATGCTAATGTACAGCAGAGTTTATAGTGATTTGGGGAATGCATACCTTGCTTGCAGAAGGACCAGGTTTTCTGTCCTGGTCCATCCCAGGTAAGGGGAATGGGAATGGCAAAGGACTTCTGTCTTCTTTCAGCTGCCTTGGCTGCCAACTGAAGTGCGGGCCAATTCGAAGTGCTGATGTTAACATTTAAAGCCCTAAAGTCGCCTTCCCCAACCCTGTGCCTTCCAGACAGGTGTGGAACGCAGCACCCGGAATTCCCAATCAATCGTCCTGCTGGCTGGGAGTCCTGGAAGTTGTGGTCCAATTGCTTCTGAAGGCCACCAGGTTGGAGAAGGCTGCCCTGAATAGTTTGGGGTCAGGTTTTCTGAAGGAACGCCTTGCTCCCTATGTTCCTACCCAGACCCTAAGATCATCCACAGAGATCTCTTTCATAAGGGAACCACTCCCAAAAGCAGTAAGCGGGTGATAAGCAGGGAAAGGCCTTCTCAGCACTTGTACCCCATCTCTGAACATGCTCCCCAGGGCAGTACACTGGACTCCATACTTTTCCTTTCAGCGCCAGATCAAAACTTTCTATTTGCCAGTGATTTCAGTATCTAAGATCTGCTTTTCTGTTTTTACTATTTTTCCTGCTAAGCCACCTGTAAATTGTTTATTCTAATTGCTGCAGGTTGTTTGAATGTTGGTTTTATTGTTTGTTTATTGACGTATTGTGTTGCAGTGCTTTTAACATTGCAAACTGCCCAGAGAACCCTATGGGCTATATGGGGAGGTATATAATAAATGA